TAATAACAACAACCCTCCCTTCATGTTTCTGTAGTCTAATCTGGGTCCTACTGATCGTATGGATCTACTGACCTAAACAAAACTGAGCCGGGTTTAGTCATTGAGTCTCAAGTGAGGACCCTGCAAATGAGGAAGTTTATTGATTGACTGGGATGACCGTATGGTCCTAGGAGAGCAGGACAAGGAGAATGTTGTTGTTGTTAAATACCATGGAGTCGATTCCAACTCATAGTGACCCTGCACAGGGTTTCTGAGGCTGTAAATCTTTACAGGAGCAGAAAGTCTCATCTTTCTCCTACAAAACGGCTGGTAGTTTTGAACTGCCGTCCTTGAAATTAGCAGCCCAATTCGTAACCATTGTGCTACCAGAGGAGTCCTGGTATGGCGCTGTGGGTTAATGCACCAGACAGCAAAGCCATTGAACTGCAAGGTCAGCAGTTCAAGCTCACCAGTTGCTCCTTAGAAACCCTATGCAGGGTCGCTATGGGTCACAACCGATTCGATGGCACTTAACAACAACATGCTACCAGAGGAGTCCTGGTGTGGCACTGTGGGTTAATACGTCAGACTGCAGTCGTTTGAACTGCAAGGTCAGTGGTTCAAGCTCACCAACTGCTCCTCGGAAACCCTATACAGGGTCACTAGGGTGGGAATTGACTGGATGGCATTTAACAATAACAACGCTACCAGAGCTCCTTGGGACATGCTTAAAACCACCCAGATAGTTATCTCAGGAATTAAGCAGCTGCAAAATATAAAGGAAGTTTATAAGTTAGCTAAGATGACCTTATGGACCTAGAAGGAGAATAGGAAAGGAGAATGGTGGTGGTGGCGGTTGCGTGCCATGGTTGTTGTTGTACCGACCCATAGCATCCTTATGCACAGCAGAACGAAACACTGTCCGATCCTGGGCCAACTTCACTACTGTTGCCACGCCTGAGTCCATCGATGCTGCCACTGGGCCAATCCATCTCTCTGGGGGTCTTCCTCTCTTTCTCTGACCCTCCACCGTACCAAACATGATATCCTTCTTCAGTGACTGGTCCCTCCTGACAATATGTCCAAAGTATGAGAGACAAAGTTTGGCCATCTTGGCCTCCAAGGAGCACTCTGGCTGCACTTCTTCCAAAACGGATCTATGGGTTCTATGGGCAGCCCATGGCACTTTCAATATTCTCTTCCAACACCATAACTCAAAAGCATCAATTCTTCTACAGTCTTCCTTATTCACTGTCCAGCTTTTACATGCATATGAGGTTATTGAAAATACCATGGCTTGGGTCAGGTGCACCTTTGTCCTCAAGCTGACATCTTTGCTCTTTGACACTTTAAAAAGGTCTTGTACAGCAGATGTGCCTAATGCAAAATGCTGTTTGATTTCTTGACTGCTGCTTCCGTGAGTGTTGATAGTTGATCCAAGAAGAACGAAGTTCTTGACAACTTCAATCTTTTTGGAAAAAGAAACAATAAGGCAATAAACTTCCCCAAACATTCTACCTTTTAGGGAAAAAGAAACTATCTGGGTGAGTTTTGTGGTCCTGATGTGCCATGGAGTCAGCTCCGATTCATAGCAACTCTATACAGGGTTTCTGTGGCTGTAAATCTTTACAGAAGCAGAAAGCCTCATTGCTCCTATGAAAGGGCTGGTAGTTTCGGACTGCCGACCTTGAAATTAGCAGCCCAATTCATAACCACTACGCTACAGTCCTATTCTCCTTGTCCTAGGAGCACTGGTAGCGCAGTGGTTACGAATTCGGCTGCCAACCTCAAGGTCAGCAGTTCTATACTACCAGCCATTCCGTGGGAGAAAATGAGGCTTTCTGCTCCCATAAAGATTTACAGCCTTGGAAACCCTGTGCAGGGTCACTGAGTTAGAACTGACTCCATGGCACATCACAATCACACCCACCCAGATAGTTATCTTAGGAATTAAGCAGTCAAGACCTCAATGGTAAAATGTTTGAGGAAGTTTGTTCATTTATTGTTTCTTTTTCCCTAAAAGGTAGAATGTTTGGGGAAGTTTATTGCCTTGTTGTTTCTTTTTCCAAAGAATGCTATCTTGATATTAAAATAGATGAAGTATACATCCAAACGTAATTTACCCAATATAATGTACCTGGATCTTTGTGAAAAACAGGATGGTCTTGAGAAATGATTCTTTCTGTCCTACAGACTTCTGGCTTTCTGCTAATAAAGCTTGGACTGGACCTCTCTCCCCATCTCTGTGATTGACCACAGTGACAGGCGTCAAACCCTTGTGTGGTTTGGCAACACTATCTTCTACCCTATTGCAGTGCAGTAATTATTATATAAATAATATAAAATAAAAAAAATATATAAAAAAATAAAAGTGTCTCTTTTAGCCACAGTTTTTGTGAGCTCCCACCAAACAACATTTTTGCCCTGATGGGTCTGGGTGAAAGAACACAAGAGCAGATGATGACAGGAATATATGACTCCACTGTGAATGGTTAAGAGTCCATTTTGATTGTAAAACCTGGAACTTAAAATGAGCCATCTCGAAAGTGGGACTGGGACAATCTCACGACCTCCAAAGAGGAGCTAGGAACAGAACACGTCCTTTGGACCCCACAATTCCTGTGCATTAAACCTCTTCAACTCAGGGAGGAGTAACAGACAAGCAGCAGCATCAGAGCCAAGATTCAGAGCACAGATGGTGCAGTGGGTCTCCCAGCCCACGGAGCAAGGAAAGCTGAGTGACTGGGCAGGGGGCTTGCTTGCAGAGTGGGGTGTCTTCAGACACTTAGAGAGTTAAGTTTGCTGACCCATGGAGCTAAGCCAAGAGCCTTTGGCTTAGCACAGAATGAGTACCTTTGAACGCTGTCAGCAGTCTGAAAAGAGCTTTGTTGCCCAGGCAGAGAGGTGGCCTGTGGTCATGGCTGAGGAGAGGCTGCCCTGACTAGAAGAAATGTGCCCTTAACATTTCTGACCCTGAATTGTAACTTGTTAGCTTTCTTATGGAATGGGATGGCTCTGTAGGATAAGCAGTGAACTCTGAACCAAAAGGTCAATGGTCCAAGCTCACCAAACACTCCACAGGAGAAAGATAAGTAAGGCTTTCTGCTCCCACAAAGATTTACAGCCTTGGAAATCATATACAGGATTGCTATGATTTGGAACCAACTAGACTCAACAGCACTTAGCAACAACTTTCGCAATAAACCCCATAATATGGAATCTGAGTTCTGTGTGGCCATTGCAATGAACAATCAAACCCAGCAGAGCAGTGAGTACTGTGGCAGGAACGGCTGGGGGCACATTTTTTCCACCTATACACTCTGCACAAATTCTAGTTATCATCTATAGGCTGAAGGAATGCAAATCTCTCTGTTGACCTCCGTATTTACAAATCTAGCTGCTACCAGACATAGTAAATCATCAAAAACACAACCTTTATAAACCTGGATTCTTTCTCCCCACTCTCTCCCCCCAAATTGCCCTTCTTATCTTAGTTAATGGAGTCCTGGTGCGGTACAGTAGGATAAGCACTGGACTGAAAGGTCGGTTCTAACCCACCATTCACTCCTCGGGAAACTTATACAGGGTTGTTGTTATTGTTGTTTTGTGCCATGGAGTCGGTTCCGACTCATAACGACCCTGTACAGGGTTTCTGAAGCTGTAAATCTTTATGGGAGCAGAAAGACTCATCTTTCTCCCGTGGAACACTTGGTAGTTTCGAACTGCTGTCTGTAAGATTAGCAACCCAACTGGTACCTTCTACGCTACCAGAGCTCCTTAATTTACTATGTGTAAAAACTGGCACTTAACCACATCTAATCTTAGATTGAATTGTTCTTAAACAACCTCTCTCCAGCAAGCTGTAGTGCCCTGCAGGAAAAGAAGAGAAAGGCAACAATACTGGAGCATTCTTTAAATCCTACCAGGGTCCCTGACAATCCCAGTCGCTTTCCAACATGCATATACTTTCTGCCCTTCCCAGGGTACTCTACAGATTGACAGGAACCAAGACATGATCTCAGACTCAGTATCTAGAGATTACCACCTATCCAGATTGGCACTGTAGGATCAGCACTGGACTGCAAACCACAAGGTCTGCAGTTCAAACCCACCAGCTATTCCTCGGAAACCCTATACAGGGTCGCTCTGGATCGGAACCGACTCCACAGCACTTAACAACAAATCCAGTACCAACACCTGCCAGAGACTGCTAGTCACTTGACGTACACCTTGTAAAAACAGCACTGAAATTTCCCTCCATGAAACTGAAATTACAATAAATTACGTAACTCAGGCCAGATCACATAATTAAAGCAAAGCAGCACAGCTGGATTTGAGCCCAAATCTGTCTCGGACTCTATAAATGCCTAATCTCTACACTACACTACCAATGGCTGGATTACAAATGGTCCAATCTGAGTGACCTTTTCTGACCTCCCAAATAAGGGATCTTTCAACCATTTCACAGTTGGGAAACAGTGCTCGTTGCCTGTCAATGCCCAGTCCTGGTTCCCCGGAACATTAGAAGGAACACGTTAAGATTCTAAACCTGGATTGGACTACAACTTTTCCCCATGCTGTCAACCCTATTCTCAATTTCGTGCTTAGTTAGGTGAGGCCGCTTTGGGGGACTCTGGCTCCGGGGTAGCTACAGGGCACCAGGGAGGCAGAAAAGTGAACCTCCACATAAAGAGAGGGCAGAAGTCCAGCACTCATCGGATCACATTATGATCCTTGACAAGCCTCTTCCGCTTAGACAAGCAACGACCCTAAGGGTCACCTTGACCCTTGCTGAGTGTCAATCCCAACTTCCTTGCAGCACCAGCTCCTTCGTGGGAACAGCTCTAGAAAGAGAAGCCTCGATGACTACAACAAACCGGCATGGCGAGGCCCTGGGGCTAACAGGAGAAATGAACCGGACCGCGAACAGAAGCTTCCCCGGCTCCAACTCCGCGATTGCCTGGAGCTGAAGGCTGGAGCTGCCAGTTCCCCTCTGCGAGTTGGCGCTGCGCGACCCATACCTGCGGACTATAAGCCTCAGAAGCCCAGGCTCCAGCCAACTTCTGCGTAAAGCCACTGAATTTGTAGTACATGATGCCCAACGTCAGGCTCTCCACAACCGCTACCTGAGCGACCGCTCCAGAAAAGGACCCCGCCTCCCCGGCTGTTGCCCCAAGGCTCAGACCAAGAAACCTAAGCCAGGAGCCAGGCTGTCCGCTGATCGCCTAATTTAAAACATGTCCTCTTAAAATATATCAAGCATCGATAATCCGAGTTCTCAGGACCTAAAAAGGCTAAACCAGCTTTAGTGACAGCATGGAAAGGTGCTGTATCGGAATCTGCAAAAACCCGAGGCACACACTTTATATCAGGCAATGCCGAGACACCTTAAGAAAGGCGCAAGCGCTCTTCGAAACAAAACGGATGGCTAGGGCTCTCGCTGAGTTGAAATGGGCGGGCTCTGGGCGGGGCCTGGTGCTGGAGGGGCGGGGCGGGGAAGGGAAGGGAGGGGCGAGGCCGAGGCGGAGTTAGGTGCAAAGGGTAATCTCTTTTGGGCAGGTACTGCGAGTCCCCCACCTGCTTGTTATGTCAATGGCTTTTTATATTTAACTTTATTACATGTAGTGTCACTTCTGTCTTCCTCGACATAGATTACTTCGTTAGGTGTCTCACTCTTACTCAATCTGCACTGTAGTATCGATCCGAAAGCCAGGCTTCACTTTCAAGTCTGGGAAAGGGAGTCAGTAAGAAAATGTGAAATGTACCTCAGGAGGACTGGCTTGTACCAAGGGTTGTTAGGTATCAATCACAATAATCTAAAAATCACCTCCTGGCCTTTGTACAGGGGAAGCAGAATGGTCTAAATATCAGCACCAGGGCATTGTAGCGCGTAGAATTTGCAGTTTCTCAGAATAGGTTTTTATTCTTATCCTGAGTTTTATGCGAATTGGTTATTCCTTTTCCTGGTCTCCCTTTCTTGGAGCTAAATGAGATGAGAGGAAAACGGTCTAGAGCTCTAGAAATACTTGAAAAACTAGGACCTTTAGCCTAAAAAGGAGTGCTGGAGGCGCTGTAGGATAAGCACTGGACTGCTAACCACAAGGTCAGAGGTTCAAACTCACAAACTGGTCTAAAATATAAGAATTACAGCCTTGGAAACTCTATGGTGGTGATGGTTGTGTGTCGTGGAGTCGTTTCGGACTCATGTTGTTGTTGTTGTTATGTGCCATGGAATCAATTCCGACTCATAGCGCACCTATATAGGGTTTCCGAGGCTTTAAATCTTTACAGGAGCAGAAAGGCTCATCTTTCTCCCGTGGAGCGACTGGTCGGTTCAAATTGCTGGCCATGAGCAGCCCAACTAGTAACCGCTATGCTACTAAGAGCTCCTTTGGAAACCCCATACAGGGTCGTATTAGTTGGAACCAACTCCATGCCACCTGACAACATTTATCTTAGGTTTTTCAAAAGCATATTATAGAGCATTTATGAAAGGGTGGATGGTACTAGCCAAACTTTATATAACATTTTCCACAAATAAATTTATTTAACCTTCACAAAAGTCCTAGAGAGGTGCAAACGGTGAACAGACTTTGCTGTTAACCAAAAGGTTGGTGGCTCAAGTCCACCCCAGAAGAAAGGCCTGATCTACTTCCAAAAAAATCAGCCATTGAAAACCCTGGGAAGCACCGTTCTACTGTCACACACATGAAGTCGCCACGAGTCACAATTGGCTTGATAACAACTGGTTAATGTTCACAACAATCCTATGTTGTTGTTATTATTAAGTGCCATGGAGTTGGTTCCAACTCATAGTGACCCTGTTTAGGGTTTTCAAGAAGCAACTGGTGGGTCTGAGCCATCAACCTTGCGGTTAGCAGCCCAGTGCTTATCCTGCAGCACCACACCAGGACTCCAACAATCGTGTGAGGTAGGTGTAATTATTATTCCCACTTTATAATATTGAAAATTGAGACCCATAGAGGTTAAGTAACTTGTTTAGGTCAGCAATTGTTTAGTGGCAAAGCTAGTAACATGGCTTGAGTCTTACTGTTAAGTACTACTGTTGTTGTTAAGTGCTATTAAGTCAGTTCCAACTCAGTGATCCTGTATAGGGTTTCTGAGGCTGTAATCTTTACAGGAGCAGAAAGCTTCATCTTTCTCCCATGTTTACATCATAGATAAATAGATCCAAATCTTTTCTATCTTAGAAGAGGAAATGAAAGTGGTGTACTTCAGAACAGAGGTTCACACCAGCAATCCCCCTTTGGCAGGTGTAAACCCAAGAGCCCCAAATTGTTAGCTCTGCCAGTACCCTAGAGAGGAGAGGAGTCAACATATTCATATGATAATCCAATTCAAAATTGTTTGTTTTTACAAAGCAGTAGAGTCCTGGTATGGTGCTGTAGGATAAGCACTGGACCACAAGCTTGGTTTGAACCTCAAGGTTGGTAGTTCAAACACACCAGTTGCTCCTCAGAAACTCTTTACAGGATCACTATGAATCAGAACCAACTTGACAGCGCTTAACAACAACAACAATGGAAATGACACACAATTGGCATTTGAGTAGATATTTCTCCAAGGCTGAATGATTTGGGACTAATCATTTTTACTTTTTGAGAGTAACTTGCCTCTATTGCTAAGTACGAATCATCATAAAGGTATCATTCCTCACTAGTGTTCTGACAATCAACAGTTCAGTACATTATAAAGCTTACACAAATGTTAAGTTGTTGATCTTACTTTTGGCTCATTTTTCCATATTTTAAGGGTATATATTAATGCAAGAACCATGGTGATGCAGTAGTTAAACTGCTTGACACAGTGGTTAAAGTTGGTGGTTCAAACCCACCAGTGGCTCCTTGGGCAAAAGATGAGGTACTCTGCTTGCAGAAAGACTGTTGTTGCTGTTAGGTGCCATCGAGTCGGTACCAACTCATAGTGTCCCTATACACAACAGCATAAAACACTTCCCGGTCCTGTGCCAATTTCACAATCATTGCCATGTTTGAGCCCATTGCTGCTGCCATTGTGCCAGTCCATCTCATTAGGGGTTTTCCTCTTTTTCTCTGACCCTCCACTTTGCCAAACATGTTATCCTTCTGCAGGGATTAGTCCCTCCTGATAATATGTCCAAAGTATAAGAGACGAAGTCTGGCCATCCTGGCTTCCAAGGAGCATTCTGGTTGTACTTAATCCAACACTGATCTGTTTGTTCTTTTGGCAATCCATGGTGCTTTCAATATTCTCTTCCTACACCATAACGCAAATGCATCAATTTTTCCATGGTATTCCTTATTAACTGTCCAAAAGATTACAGACTTGGCAAGCCTATGGGGCGGTGCTACTCTGTCCTATAAAGTCACTATGACTTGGAATCTACTCAACAGTCATTGATTCTTGTCAGTCTATCATACTGTGGTGGCTTGAGTGCCGCTGTGACGCAGGAAGATAGGCCACGGTATTTTAAATATCAGCAAGGCCACCGTGGGCAGGTTTCAGCTGAGCTTCCAGATGAAGACAACTAGGAAAAGGAGAGACAAACTACTTCTGAATATTTAGTCATTGAAAACCTTATTAATAGGAGTGAAACACTATCAGCACCAGAATACTGAATATTAAAACATGATGAAAAGCACAAGAATATTGTCAGATACAGTGCCAGAAGATGAGCCCCTTGGGAAGGCACTTAAAGTATGACTAGGGAAGAGCTGCCTCCCCAAAGGAGAGTTCACTGTGATGACATGAATGGAATAAAGCCTTCAGGATCTACATTTGCTGATAGGGCACAACTCAAAATGAAGAGAAACAGCTGTAAACATCAATTAATAATAGGAACATGGAATGTACTATGTATAAATCTAAGAAAATTGGATACTGTCAAAAATGAAATGGAATGCATAATCATTGATATTGTAGGCATTAGTGAGCTGAAATGGACAGGTATTGGCCATTTTGAATATGACAATCACATGGTTTACTATTCTGGGAATGATAGATTGAAGATGAATGGCATTACATTCATCATTAAAAAGAGTATATCAAGATCTGTCTTGAACTACAACACTATCTGTAATAGGATCATATCCATATGCCTAAAAGAAAGACTAGTTAGCACAACTATTATTATTATGCACCAACCACTAAAGCCAGTGAAGATTAAACTGAATTCTACCAACTTCTTCAGCCTGAAATTGGTCAAACATGCAATCAAGATGTATTGACAATTACTTGTGATTGGAATGCAAGGTTGGAAACAAAGAGGAAGGATCAGTAGCTGGAAAATATGGCCTAGGTGATAGAAACGATGCTGGAGATCACATGAGAGAATTTTGCAAGACCAGTGACTTCTTCATTGCAAATACCTTTGGTAAACAATGTGAAAGATGACTATACTCATAAACCTCATCAGATAGAATACACAGAAATTAAATTGACTACATCTTTGGAAAGAGATGGTGAAAAAAGCTCTATATCATCAGCCAAAACAAGGCCAGGGGCAGACTGTGAAACAGACCATCAATTGCTCATATGAAAATTCAGGCTGAAGGTGAAGGAAATTAAAAAGTACACAAGAGCCACAATATGACCTTGAATATATCCCACCTGAATTTTGAGATCATCTCAAGAACAGATTTTATAAATTAGACACTAAAGACCAAAGACTAGAAGAGTTGTGGGATGACATCAAAAAATATCATATAGGAAGAAAGCAAAAGGTCATTATGAAGACAAGAAATAAGGGGAAACTTATGATCCAGCAATCCCTCTACTCGGTATTTACCCACAAGAAAAACAAGCCACAACATGAGAAGATACATGCACACCAATGTTTATAGCAGCACTATTTACAATAGCAAAAAGATGGA